TTGGAATGAGTTGAAAGCTAGGTAAATAAATAGAGACAAATGACTAGAATATTGCAAGATTATTTGTTGATAGTACAGCAACAAAGTTGATAAAGAAATAGGCTTAAATGCAAGAAGTACGAGAAAATGCTTCCAAAGTCGGCGCTGTTTTCAGAATGTTTATACTATGCAGAGAAAAGCCGAAATCTTAACACTGCTAGAATTATGAAACTCAGTTAAATGCCAAAAGAGTTAGTTTATTTAAAGAGAGAAAGTAAAACTTGGAATTTACAAAACGTATAAGATTAAGAACGACAGCGGAGATTCAGTGTCTTCATTCATTTCAATTTTATTCCCGAGTTGCAAGTTAAGAAGGGAAGTGAGAATAAAAGTAGTCGAGAATATAGAAGCGATAGGTCGTGGAAATTCCTCTTCTGATCTAGGTTAATCAATAACATCACAGCGAAGGGAGATGGGAGATTTCGGCCATTGTGAGTAAGAAGTACAGATAAAAGATCATAGGAGATGATGAGCATATCGACTTCATTGGGCTAGATCCGCAAGAGACCTTTTGATCTAGAATCCAATTGTGAGTCTAAGTTCATATTTGCAGAGTTGGACACAAACCCTGAAGGTCCCACAGCAAACTCAAAGTCACCAAAGCTCTGTTGTTTCGAGTGAAGTCGCGAACTGGAGGCGGCATGTGAACTGCCTCCAGCTAGAACGGAAACCGAGGCCAGGGAAGTGGGTTGGGCCATCTGTGTGATGGAGTCATCAGCTACTAGTTTAATCACTCTTGCATCTATAGTCTGCTGGGAGATTAAGGGGAGAACATTTGTGAGGGAGGAGGTGGTAGAAGTAAAATTTGCTTGCTGACGCATCTGCGATCCAGTGACATGTAGATCTGTTACAAGAGAAGAGGGCCTAGAGTTAGATGCTTTATCTGTTCCAACAGTCGTCACCATCGAATCAGTGCCTATCGAAGAGCGAGACACAGGGCAGCCGACATCTTTGTCAAGAGAACGGTGAATACGACTGGC